AACAAGTTGCCCCAAATCGAACATTCCTCTCGTTTTCTGGGCACCTGTGCTACCGATGCTACACGGGTTCACCAACTCTATCCCAGGTTTCAATGGCGCATTTAACAAATCCAGTGATATATTTGCAACAATTGACACAGTTCTGCAAAATAAATCGTGATGGGATGTACCTAGCCGCAAATGAACCTTGCAAGTTGAAGCCTTGTGAGGGCCAGGGCCTATCCGCTAAGCGGACTGCTCGTACTGAGCCAGTGTGAGGAGCCGCACTGCAATGAGGTGTCCTCACAACCAGGGTCAACCTTTATGTCCTGACAAGTGCTGAAATCGGATAGTAGTCGCTCCCTCTGAAAAATGTCTCTCAGACGATTCCCTTAGCCAAATATCGATAGTCCAGATTGTGTCTTTGAATCCTGCAAAACTGTTGCAATTTACCGCACTTGAACTCAGTCTCCACAACTTCAAATGCTCGCTTACCGGACAGTGGTTGAGTACAAGTACGTTTCTCCTTACAGGGCTATCCTAAGAGGGGCTCTTAAAGAGCTTTTACTCACTGTGACTCGTCCCTCCTAGCCCATGAAAAAAAGCAAATAAGATCAATAATCATAAACGCGACCCCAGTAGTTGAACGCTTGATCCCGATCCCCACCAGGGTTGGTGCATCCTGTTTGAAAGCGGGGTCACGAAAAGACAGCCCATTAAAACCAAAGTAGAGGTGGCATAAAACCCTAGAAGTGTGAACCCTTCCGACCCTTTTATGTCCAGACTAGAGTGAGACTCCTCGGTGCTGAAGTTATCAGTCCGAGTGGTCTACTGTGCATCTCTGCTAAAGCCGTTGTGCGCGGCTGGAGATCAACGGCGAGAGTTCAGCCAGTTGGCGGGCTGGCAGTGGCGCGAGCGGAGCGGGTACGGCTCTGAATGGTCACTAGAGGACCGTTCGTTGAGAAGTGCGCACCGTCGCATATTCTCAGCGCGACCGCCTGCCTCTTGGCTAGGTACACTTCCCTCCTTCGGCCTCCAACCTTGTCGTAATTAACCTTATTAACAAGAAAGGGCTCATGAAGAACTGCTGGAACGAAATCGTAGGCATAAGAGAAGGCAAGAAGCATGGGAATTGCTGAGTATGAATAATGGACTGCGGATCTTAAAGGAGAAGTTTAGAAACAAGCTAAGAGCACGGTGATGGCGTCCGATTTTGAGAAAAGTCAGATGGGTCAGAAATGTAGATTGAATCTTTTTGGTTCTTCTGCAGGGATTGTTGCCCTTTTCAGCCTCCACGGTTCTATCTTTCTGCATTGAGTGGTTTGCCAATTTCAACGTTATACCTTTTTCAGACAGCCAACCCGTTCGTCTGTTTGCAGATCCCAGGTCTTTCCGCAATGTTTCTTTTGTTCACTGGGATCGATTCGACTCCTCTCATTACCAACATTATTTCCGTTTTACTCATTTTATATCCCGTTTTCAATCCGATTATTATCATAGCATTCTTGAAAGAGTATCGAGATTTTGCTTTGAGTAAATTGAAATTGAAGAGGTACTTGAAAAAGCCTCGTCTTAATTTCAAAAATAACTCCACCAGACCTATTGCGACTTCCTCGCAAACAGTTGTTATTTGAGGAATCATTATTTGTTTTTCCTACTAAGCTAAATTTGATCGATCTCAGTCAGGCAAAATGTCCAACGATCTATGAATTCATGTTTGTTTCACCATGTTTGCCCTATGATGCAAAGTTGTTTACCACCAACACTATCCACCCCCAACCAACATTTGACAACCTCCTACGCACTACATACGTTCTTAGATGAGATATAGATATGTATCAATAAAGCACGTATAGTTCAGAGTATTGTATATGTTGTCCACAGGTAGCTTCTTTCTTCCGGGGTAGCCTT